CATGGGAATCTCTAAAGGAAGACTCCACCATAGCGATGGATGGTGCTTTCCCGTGGCTGTAAGAGCAACCTCGGCACACTCAACGGACGGCGGAGGTTATGACGTCACCATTGACATCGACCACATTGGGTCGAGAATGACCAACGACATGGCCCTATCTATGATGACTGCATTTCACGCTACCAATCTCGGAGCGCTGACTTCAATCATGCGACGAGGGCTAGTGCCGGGAGGTCTCGGCTCATCGGGAAGGGATTCTATCCACTTCACATGTTTTCCGCCATGGGCCTGGGAGCAGGGCTACAAGGGTAAACCTTGGCTGGGTCGTAAGGTCGCATTGAGTGATCGCCCAGTGGTTCTCTACATTCCGGTGTGGAAGCTGCAGGAGTACGGACTTCTCATCTCAGCGACTGGCTCTCTATTGGTTGAGAACGTCGTTCCCTTCGATGAGGTTAAAGGGGCATGGTTGCAATGCGACAATGCGGAACCCGGACAGCCTGAGGAGATCGAATGGATCCGGTTACTCAATGGGGAACCCGACCCTGGAAGCTACCTTGTTCTGGAGTCCAAATACGGAAACCCGATCGTGATTCCACGCTTTCAAAAGCTTGAGAGTTTAGCGGTTGAGGTTCAGGACGATACCTACTCCGAGGACGACGCCAAAATCTCAAAGCTGTTGGGTATGATCGAGGAGAGTGGTGTTTACCCAGAATATGATAGCACCGAGTGGCAGGAACTCTTCGAGGAGATCGTGTACCGCCGAGCAATGAAAGACTATGACTCAAGACCGTGCCCTAACTGTCTTGGCGAAGTCGATGTGCGATTGACGATATGTCCGCACTGCGTAGCGGTTTTGATCGCGAATGGGAAGCTCACACATGTGGTACCCAAGGAGACAAGGGACCGCAATCAACGATCACCTCCGAAAGATGTCCCAGCTAGTTCTTCCGGTGAAACAACTTCTGCTGCAGGTGCAAACATCGATGAAGTCATCAAGAACGCACGCAAGACAGCCGAAGAGGTCATTGAGATCGAGGAATCCGAAGGAGAGGAAGAGGAGGAAGTTCCTATCATTTTGAAGGAACGACCGGACGAAGCTGAAGGCGAACCCGAGTATCGGGAGGTCCCTCAAGATGGATACGGGAATGAACTTCCGAAGCCTTTCCCCTTCGCAATTGACGAACTGCCGCAAGAAGCTGCGATCCCCATCGACCACAACTTTGCCGTCACACAGCAATTTGATTTGAGGTTGATGAAGTTGATCAAGGGCTTGGCCAACGCAACGTTCGACATCAACTGCTTTGAGAGTCGTGAAGATGTACTGCGAATGTTCGACGATGGACAGCGGCATGACACTCCACACAATAGATGGCCGATAGTACCGAATGATCCGGATACTGGGTTTCCAAGACGTCTCATGAAAGCCGAGGTCGTAGGCATGAGCAGATGGACCGACGACGTGTTTGCAGCAGAAGCGTGGCAGATCTATGAATTCCACGCCCACGTTGTTCATCCGATGATGATCACTGCAATCCGCTGCGGGCTTAGCCACAAGTACCTCAAAGAGGTCGGCAGCACTCAGCGTAGCATGAGTGATCCAAAGGCTCGAAAGTCTGAGACCCAGGATGAGATCATCGAGAAATTGGCATTCATCTCAAATTTCATCAGACGTTTGATCAAGAAGACCTTCGGAGCGAGCCGATATAGTTACTACCAGAAACCAGATGACGAAAGTGCCGCTCCATACAAATTCATCGACATTAGTCCCGCCATCAAATCGGAGCGGAAGAATGTCACGAAGGAGATCCTCGTTGCATGCCGCTACTATGGCATAGAGGTATCCACTATCCAAGCACAGAAATTGAAGTCCTTCGAGGAGCAGATCCGAGCGGGAAATCCAAGGAACGTTGAGCTCATCAAGGACTACATTGGCTTTGTCGGCGCTGACTACATGCGACAACTCACGAATGGTTGAGCATTGGGGTCATACCGACATGCCACTTCCGGTACTTCAAGTACTGAGGGATCTTGGGTAATTCATGATGACCGTTTTGGCATCATGGGAGTGAGATAGGATTGTGTTTCACACCGTTGGTAATCGCATGATACCATAGGTAGGTGCACGTTTTCCGTTTGTAGCTCCATTGCCTGTTTGATCCAACTTTCAAGCGAATGCAAGATCTTTTGCTAATTCAATTCAATAGGACATACTGGTTGACCTCCAATACACTTTTGAGAACGTGATTCGTTCTCCGGTTTTTACATCCACTCATCTCCCTTCCCCGTCGAAGTACGGATGTGGGGGGTGTCAATAGGGATGGGGTCCCAGTATAGTCGCTATACAGGTACATGCCATATACTTTTGGCTCAAGTGCCCAACCAGGTAAAAAGGAGCTTTAGCGCGCGAGCTTCATGTTGACCTAAGAGCTAGAACGGGGCCAGGGCACACCTTTCCATCCGTTCGCATATTATATGTATATATATGATACGTGTGTGTGAACTGATTATATGTGTCTTATATGGATAGGTAGATGAAAAGACTGCGTTTAGACAAAACAAAAGAGAAAGCAAAAGCCGTGCAAAGGCTAGTTTGTTGTTTTCTTGTGTTTTGTCCGTAGGCCTCCCTGAACTTGCAAGCTAGAAGGACTTCACTCCTCCAGATGACCTCACCTTGAACGAGGTCCAAGCCTCCAAACGGTGATGAACATCGACGAATTCCATCCACCCATTAACACATGGCCTCAAGTCTGAAGCTCAACTGAAGGCACAAGGTTCTTCTTGAGGACGTTGTTTGTTGGTAATTACATGTTCTCTTGTTGGTTCTTTTCACCCGCAGAGTCACCCTCGTTCAGACACAGGAGGACCCCGCTGCCCGCGCGGCACGTGCCGCAGCAGCGGGTGCAGAGGCCGCAGCTTTTGCACAGCAGGCCTCCAGGTGCCTCGCGGATTGTGTGGTGAACACAGGAGGAAGGTGATTCATCCACCAGGTCTTGGTTTATTCATCTTTTTGTTCATTGGGGTAGCTAGGGCAATGGGGTGCGGAGTCACTTGGAGATTTTCGGGAGGGCGGGACCGGGGGCGCAAGCTGTATTTCTTTTTCGACTTGCTGATGCATCTTGGATCATCTTGGATTTCATCCTGGCAGACTTATTGATCCGGCTCCAAGGATGGCAGAGACCGCCCGAGATGCTGCGCGGGATGCGGCCACGGCGAAGTCAGCAGGCAACATGTGGCCACCTGGAGAAGTGGACGTAGGGGCATAGAGGGGTGAATGGGGTTGACAATGATTCTGAGGATGGTGTGAACCCCCCGCCGATCATACCAGATTGCGTTTGGTGTGCCAAGATCATGTCCAGTTGACATGACCATCACGACCACATGAGACTCATCACACCAGCCTACAAAGAAATGTTTTGGATTTCATCACGCCCTGGGAATGGGAAGCAGGTGCTTTTTTCACCTGGCAGACCTGACTCGACCACCGCTGAGGTCTGGCGAAGCGCCTCCACCTCCACCGGGAGGCCCACCACACCCCAGCATCAGACGCTCAGACATGGAGCACTCGTCCTGGTGGAGCACAGCAGGAGATTCAATACCCGAAGGGTTCCAGGTCGGGATATATGAGCCATTTGGACCGTTGACCTTATATGAACTAGGTGGGTCAGTGTTTCTGGTGGGATTTGGGGTTGATGATTGATTCCGTGAAATGGGTCTAAAGATCGCACAATGCGTGCGCACGCCAAGGGCGTCGGCGTCGCCAGCCTTCTGGTCCTTCCCATCAGCGCCTACTAGTAGCAATGCACTTTGCTACCAGTAGCTTCTTGTTACTAGTAACTTACTAGTAGTATGGCCTGGTAGCGATGCCCTTTGTTCCTAACCGCCAACCAAAGCCAGATTTGCAGACATGTTCATCATTTCCTGCATGAAGTTCTGACGAAGCGAACATGAATGTTGCAGTCGCTGTGAAAAATCCACTGTGGACAGCGAGAACCCAAATTATCAGCCACAATGATGGTTTGAAAAGAGACGCAAATCCCACTGACCCGATCGTACCATCCACTTCGAGTGTGTCTATTCTCCATCCCGGATGCCAATTCCTTTGTCCATCTTCGTCCTGTTCTGGGTTTTTGGGAAGTGGGTCCATGGCCAGAGCTGCTAAGGACAGCCAATGAAGCTGTGGTTGCCTGAGCCCACACCTCAACAGCCTCTTGACACTCAGGGGGGCCGGTTGTTCAACATCAGTTCCTCCAAGTTTGGTTAACAAGGGTGACGCTGACACAAACTTAATTTCACAAGGCTGCATACAGCTGACACAAACTTATTACACAAGGATGTAGTCTGCTTGCCTCTATTTGGGTTCATTTTTTCATTCGACAAACACCCACAGAGAGAGAGAGTGTGTGTGTGTCTCACTGACTGACTGGGCCGTATGACTATCCGACAAACTCGCAGTGTCGGGTCTCATCATGTCTCATCCAGTCACTCCAGCCAAACCCAGTCAGATGAACCTGTATGTTTGGGAACCCCAAAATTGTAGGTGCAGGTTAGAGGGGTCGCAGGTGCGATTTTTTGCCGGCACGGTGTGTTTGGCTGGCACAGGTCGTGAGCCAAAAGGCTCCTCCCAGCCATACCCTTCCTACCCTTAGCGAGTTCGTCCAGGTATCAGCCGCCACCTCCACCGCCACCATCTTCCCAGAATGCACAGGCGATGGCAAGCTGGACACGAGCTTTTGTGAAAGCTCTCGATAAGGTTTGCACACACTACGTTTTCCGTTTTGTCCGACAAGGGGTAGTGCAGCAATGCAAGTATCTGAAGTATCTAATATGATCGAAGATCTCGGGGAGGTCAGTGGTCCTACATTCCATGCCGAGTTCCTACGAACTTGTGGGACTCTATCCGTCAAACGCAGTGCAACCACCAGAATCGCCTGAGGAGGAGTTTTGGATCAGTCATGTGATTAAGTGTCACTGGAAGCACTCGGAGACTGTAAAGCCTTGTGATGGCCATGACAACCCATTCCGCCGGACTGCGCTTGCATTCGAGCGAGGCCGAGCGAAAGCCCAGCAGAAGCCCACGGAAGAAGACTAGCAGGACGGGCTGGGGCAGCAGATGGCTGAGCAGTGGACGTCAAGGGGTTCCAAGACGCATTGGAATGCTTCGTGGAAGCAAACCTTTGTGGGCATCACTCGAGGTGGAAGTTTGGAATGTCTCTATCAGTGATTCTCTAGGGGCTAGAGCTCACCTTCAGATTCAAGGAACTTATTGGCACAAGCTGGGCGTCCAAGATGCTCCAGCAATGCGCTACCTTTGCTGGCAACAGCCGCATGAAATCAGCAGTTCGGTACCACCGCTAAGGCCTAGACCCCGACTTTTTGTAGTTTGCGCCGATGCGGGGCGGTGCCTTGGTCGCTGCTTGTCCACGTGGGCCCGAAAGGCAGCTTAGGTCAGCGTTCCACTTGGGCCTCCCCCTCATATAGAAGCCTTAGCTGCTTCCCTCCCAAAAACCACCCGGGCGCCGAACGACGACTCCCCCGGGTCCGGTCGGGCGCCGAACCGAACGCCGACGACGCCGACCTCGCCAGGAGCAATAGCGCCCGCCGGGCACGGCGCAACCGCCGCCGTGGCGGATGGGACGCCGAGGAGCCGGCGCCGGACAATGCAGCACAGATGGCGTTGGTGTGCCTTGGAACCGCGGGAGAGCGGCGAAGGCATGGGTTCGGAGGTTGCAGGGATAAGAGGATGGCTTTGGTCAAAGCCTTTGGGAGTTCAAATGCTTCACATGTTCATTGTTGGACACCTAGAATCACAAGTTCAGGACACGGCTTCTCATGGTGCTTGTCGGTGAAAGTTTTGATCCGTTTTGCATCATGTCTTCCAGAGGGTCCTCAGGTTTCTACTTGCCAAGATGGTCAACCTCAGTCTCAAGTTGCAAACTATATGTGGTCGTTCAACCAAGCACAAGCTCCTGACACCACTGGCAGTCCCAAATGTAGGATAAATTCATCATTTCAGAAGGCCCCCCAAACAAGGGACGTGTTAGTACACCCGGCAAGATTCAATTTTGGAACCTGAAAATAAACCTCAATGGACACCAAGTGGTTTTCAGGTTTAATCTTCCTGGGTTACGCACTGCCTAAATGGGCTGTGCCACTTCCGGACTCGAAGCTCATCTCGCTCATCTTCCCGGGTGTATGTTTTTAGATGCTATTAGTTTTGCCTTTTGTCAGGGAGTCTTTGGGCTCGCCCTGCTCCAATCTCGATTTCGCTGAGGCCCTCCCGACCTGCCCTGCCACCTGGCCAGACCGGCCGACCAGCTGGCATGCACGGCCCGGTCAGGGGGCTCAGATGCCTTGGAAACACTGTTAAACACGTGCCTCTCCCTACATTGGCGGCCTCCATACTGAAAGAAGATACGAAAAAGATGAGAGGGATGACAGGTATTGACAAGTACTTTCGGGGTTGTTTTTGTATGTGTTTGTTCTAAGAGTTAGTAATTGAGATGCGGGTTGCAGGCCAAGGACCTGTCCTCTCCTTCCAACATGGATCACCATCACCAAATGGAGTGTCGAACACGGTCTTTGTGTCTATGGGAGTGTCCAATATAGAGAGAGAGAGAGAGCGGGTTGGCATATAGGTGCAGCAGAAAACGATTTTCCAGCGGAACTATTTGTTTGACACGCCCCGAATGACGTCGAGGAGGATTTACCCCTTGTTGAACATCCCCGCGTTTTTTGGCTTCGATTCCGCCGAAGCCCGGTGGACGATCTTGGTGCGGTGTCCTTATCCGTTTGACGAGCGCAAGGGAGGGCACCAACTCTTTGCGAGGAAGTGCCGGTTGCCTCGACTCCCAGACCTTGAAAAAGGAAGAGATGGAAAAAGGGCTTTTAGGCTTTGGAATTGAGCTAGTAGTAGTGCCCTTAGGTACTTAGCCACTAGTAGCTTCTTGTTACTAGTAGCGATGCACTTGCTACTAGCTAACATCATCTAGTGTTCCATACTGAGCCTGGAAAACTGCGTGAACCGTGACTCACAGCCCGCTGAGGTGCCGGTGAACCGTTTCGGCATCGCAGAGGCTACGCCAGAGGCACGACAGTTCCGGGCGTGCCCGGGGAGAAGGGGGGGGAGGTCAGATGGGCCTAAAGAGCCTAGAGAGTGTTCAGATGGTATTGAACAGTGTCGTGCTGGGTCGATTTCTGAACCGATCGAAATCTCTAACTCTAGCAACTACTACTCTTGGGTGTCAGGTTGATAGCTACTAATGATAGCTAATGATAACTATGCACCTTGAGAATGGAGACACGGTCTTAGAGTCTTTGGGACCAGACGACTAGCCCAGACTACTAGCCTTTTCCAGAAGCTACATGCCGCTACTGGCCACTTTGTACTCTTGTTGCTCGAACTATATACAATAATATAAAATTGTTTGTATAATATGTAATCATATAATATACATATATATTTATTTACATGTGTGTGTGATTATATATGTGTATTTGTACATACCCATCTACCAAAGGTGGGTTCGCTTGGATTCTGCCATAGCTGTTCCTATTGAGGGTTTTTGGGTGAGATCCATCAACATCCCAAGCACCGGGGCACAACTTAGGATGTCGAGCAACTGAGTGAACCCTAGAGTATATAAGCAATTTTGAGGGGTGAAACGCAGATGCATCAATGCAGGCGCTTGGCTTGCGACGTATGTGAAAGACGTGTGTGCGTGTGCGTTTTTTGGTCCAGACTTCCGCAGGCACGGAAGTGGAACGAACCCTTAAAAAACAAAAGAAACATGTCTTCGGTGAGATCATGTACATAGGCCAATTTGATATGTGTTTGCAAAGAAGTGGATAGGCAGCTAGGTTTGCAGCTAGACTCAGACAGAATTGTTTTGTTCTTTGCATTCTTCCAGGCGCTGGCCGCAGCCGTGTTCCGAGCACAGCAAGTGGAGAAGGCTCGGCAAAGCTTGGAAAGGTGGAGTGGGCTGGAGGTGACCGTGTGAAACTCTTTTATCCTGAAGTTCCCCCAGTGTATGTTTTATTGGGTTGTCATGGGTTGCCTTCTTTTCATACATGAAAGATTTTTGGAAATCCGGGCATGGGTCAGGAAGGTGGGAAAACTGGAGAGTCCAAACACCTGAAAACCAGAGGCTTGGAGATCTTTTGGATCTGTTGGAAAGAGTCGCTTGTTTAGATACATGGTCGCTTAGTCGCCGCATGGTGGTATAAAATTGTGCCAGATGGATCCAGATGATCAATGTCATCAGATGCGTCCTTCTGATGATCTGTACTTTTTGTTCGAGTCGGCAATCACATCAGGCTGCGCGAGCCTGGAAAGGCGATTGTGCGATCGTGCGTTGCTTGAGGTATCCCACCAGTGAACTGCAAAGGCGTCAAGACTGCCTTCCCGTTCTCTCCACCACGAAGAAAAGAGTCACCACTTGACTGGGTGCAACTGGATAGGTTGAAACAGAACCTGTGTATGTCACTGTATGTCCTAGCAAGACACTGTTGGAGGAGCCCACTGGACAATGATGCCCACTTCTGCGCCAAGGGTGATTCCTCAAAACAAACTCCACCGTAGCTGGTGGGCATCTATGTTCCCAGGGAGTCAAGGAGCTGTTGGGAGTTCCTTACCCAACAACTTGCTTTTTCGCACCCTCCTTGTTCCCCTTATGGCCGAACAACGCGTGTTCACCGCGGCACAGTCGCGTTACCGCGCGCTCCCTCCACGCGGTGTGCTTCCTCCAGGCAGGCCTCGAGGCCATGCGCGACAGCGGAAAGATCCCTCGAGGGCCGCCAGATCTCCCCACCGGCCGAGGGGCCCAGATGCGAGCGGGACAGGTGGGCAACGAAAGCGACGGCACAAGTGGTGCGAACGGTGTGAGAAAAAAATAAACACAACAACATACAGACAACAAGTGAGCGACTTGGCAACCCTTGAGCAATCTTGAGCAAGAAACCCAAGACATGTTCAAGCCCAATGGTGGGAAAATTCTAGGGTTCTGAAGTGTTGTTGCTTTGCAGAGGCCTTTTTGAGGGTCTAGCGGCTAGCGACCTTTGCTCCCTGCAGTGCTGGTACTGGGGTGCTATAAGTAGTTAAGTAGATGAGAAAGTGGTTTGTCCTTTGGGGCTTCCATGCCAGAGCAATCATAGCCATAAGCATGCCAAGATAGTTTGGAAGGCTGCTTGTTTCATCAGATGAGGTGCTGGCTAGAGAAACATCAGAAGCTGGGAGGGGGGAGGTTATCACTTAAACTTAGATTATGCTTCCCTAAAAGAGGTTAATGAGGCTATCAGCTACTTGTATCAGCTAGCAGTTTTTGGTTGAGTTGGAATCTGGCATCAGGTTCACCAGCGGCTTACCACTGGTGGCTTTCCAAGCCAGAAAGACATGGAAAGACATGGAACAACACCAAGCCAGAAAGAGACCCAGAACATCGCAGAGCCAATGTTTTTGATTTTTAGTGTTACTGGATGAGAGGGGACAGGCGAGATCAATTGAGAAGGGGATGAGAACTTTTAGGTGTACTGTACTCTTGGAACCTTTGGGTTGTTTTCGGTATTTGCTACTACTCACATCAAAAACTGAATCACTGAAGGTTAGACACCCTTCCGCTTTTTCGCGGAGTATTTTCGCAGGAACAAATACTCATGGGACAGCCAATCTGCATCCATCGAAGCATCCACTGGGTGACAGACCCCGGTTCTGGGAGCCGAGACGTGACGGCGAAGGGCGACAGGGTTCAGCTGCGGATGCCGTTCAAGGGGATGACATAGACGACAGGATGGCCAAATCCATGTGTCACATGATGGCACCAGAAAAGCCAGCATTTTTTTCTGAAACAAGGAGTGTGGATTTCCTCGTTCTTATTTAAGAATTATATAGTATAGGCTAGGCCTCGATCTGCACGTGGCTGTTCTTTGGAATCTGTGGACACGGATGATTCATTGATTTCTTTGTTTGAAGTGCTTCCCTCAGATGTTAACACGGGGTGCATTAATATATTAATTGATTGAACCCACTTTATACACAGCGTACAGTAGATTGGTCGTTTGGGATGCTGTACTTGAGGTACTGAAGTCATCGAGCAGAAATGCGTGGCGTACCTCATCGGTTTCTGGGCAACAGATAAGGAGTGTTGGGACCTCCGATGTTCTACACAAGTCCCAACGATGCCAGTTACAAATAGTAACCAGAAGCTACTAGGTGCTCCTGGCCTTACTACTAGGAGCAAGGACGCTACGAACGGGGCTCCTGGCATCGCTACGAACGGAGCGATCGGATGCTGGTAGTAAAAGAGCAAACGGTAGAAACATCGAGGCATCTTCCGGATGTCAGTCGACCGGGTCGGGCCGTTCCTTGTTCGGTTCGTCACGCTGCCTGCCCAGCGACCTCAAACGAAGGCAAGACCTGGCTCCCCTCATGCTTCCTCCTGGGTTGGCGGCCATTCATGCGAAAGACGGCTACGTCAGTAAACGCAACTGTTGAATGGGTTGCCTTGCTGCCATGCTTGGTGCTCACATTGGAAGTGACTCTGCGCGGGGTTGGGGACTCGGATGTGTCCACAGGTGTGTTGCAGCTGTATCTCCTTACAAGCCCACTCCTCCAGTGAGCATCTGAAATCCCAAACACGCAATTGAATTTACCATGATCACGTTCGGGGTGTGCAAATTGCTTCTTCGTGCTTCCATCTTGTCAGCTTAGACGTTTGATATGAAGGCGGCCTAGTTGAGGCTTCTGTGTCAACGTCACACTCGTGAGCTCCTGAGCTTTCCCTTGATGTCCTCCTTCACCTCGTCCAAGGCAAGGGAGGTCAGGCATTGGCGGCCATCAACGCAGCCGCGGGCGTCTCCACGCAGATCGATCAGTCCACGAAGCAGTTCGGCTACAGCTGCTTGGCGACAGCGGTTCGCCGGAGGGTCGAAGCTCCGAACGTTGGGGAGAGAACCGCGGTCGAAACGGACCCCGGCGCCTCTTCGGTCCTTTCTTCCCGCGAAAAGGGCGCCGAAATCTCGGGGAGAAAGCCCGTGATTTGGGGTAAGAAGGGAAAGAAGCCGAGTGAAGTCGGCGGAGGTCACACAAGGTCATCATAATTAGTCGCATGTGGAACCACTGGAAAGCCCACTTTGGCCGTGCCAAGGAGTGTGCCACTCAGGAGTGGGGAGCTAGCAGCTATCAGCTTCCAGGAAGGGAAGTCCTCATGATTCCTCTAGTTCTAGTCGTCCACTCGCGCGAAACGCCACGGGCCGCCCCGTGAGGCATGGCAAACATCTACGGCACCGAGGAGGGCACTGCCAAGGTGACGAACACAGATGTCGGGGCGAAAAAGCAGCTCCGGAAGTGAAGCTCCTAGTAGATCCTAGTAGCGTCCTTGTTCCTAGGGTGGGGCTGTTGTTTGAAATTCTTAGACTTTCACCTCCACCGGTTCTCACCAGTTAAAGTATGGCAGTCAGATAGACCGGGAACGCATGTCATTTCAACAACCCCTACGTTGAGGCGAAGCTGATCCTCCGGCAGAAAATCTCAGAATACCGGCCACTGAGAGGATGAGGCCGGGCAGGCGGCATCCAGTCCAAAACCGTTCTCCCGATTCGATGGACATGCACATGGAAAGAGCATGAAATCTGTCGCTTGGGGGGTGATGGAACTCCGAACTCCCGACCACTCCATCGAGGCGCGGCCCTGACCTGTGCGCGGCCCTGACCAGCCAAGCGAACCCGCTACGAAAGGAAAAGCCCCAGCTGCTGTGGGTGGTACGGCTGTGACGACGACGCGCAGCAGACCTGGTGGTCCAAACGTCCCAAACCCTTGGGCATTGGGACAACAAGCGACCAAACGACCTTCATTATCTTCATTGAACAAGGCCTTTCTTAGGTCCCGCCAAACGCAAAAATGCCTTTGATGCTCGTTCGCTTTGTTCACTGTGCCGCACTCAATTTGCACAGTCGGATAATTACATATAAGATCATATAAGTACTAATACAGGTATCCCCTAAACCCCTTCCAACTAGAACGGATCTCCCTGTCCAAATCCAACCGCATGTATCCACAAGTATCATCACAATCTTTTCACTATACATATTACAGTACAGTATATGTTTGGCAGTTTCTTGAATCGCCCGTTTGCTGAAGAACAATGAGCTTCACCGTTTGCAACGGCCGTATTTGCGTGCCCGATTTTTACACATGCCCCTGGTCGTCGTTGGTGAGGAGACCGTAGGCCGTTGGTCTGGCTTCTCTTGGCTTCTCCAGGTGGGTTGCTGAGATTTCTTCAGAACTTCCAATGACATCGTACCCCTGTCCACCAAATATCCAGGCGAGTCTCGGACAGGGACTCTCTGGACTCGGGTTTGCCAGGCACCTGAGGGGACCGGCGCGCTGTCAATGACCGGCACATGTCGTGGAGTCTCGTACTGCAAAACGTCCTCAGTGCTGAAACAGTGAAAAGACTAATGGGATTGGCTGCAGTATGAAGCAAGAATTGCCGTGAGCAAGGTGCTGTTTGACAGTTCGCTGCGCGTAATAAGCGCCTGATTGCTACGGCTGAGTCTTCCAGTCACACCGTACTTGCGCTGCAGAAGGGCAGCGTGCAGGTGTTCATGCCCCGTTGCCGTTGGAAAAAATGGTGCACGACCCAGGAACCTGGAGGTTTTTGTGAGATTTGTGTGGCATCCTTCAATGTTTTGATTGTTGCATTGGAACCGGGTGATATGTTTAGTTTGGTATGTCCAAGCACCACCCTGGCGGCACGTCAAACAAGGACGAGCATCTCCCGCTGTCACGAGGCTCCTGGAGGGTACCACCAAGAAGGTCCACCAAATCATGTTTGCTCAGGCGGACATGCACAGAGCTACTTGTTTGTTCAAAGACCTGTACCAGCCCAGGTGGTTTTTCGAAAGACAAGCATTCTCCTGGACATCCATCACCCCTGTGTTGAAAGGAGATCCGATTTCTTTCCCCGGCCCAACCGCGGACAGCCCAAGGTTCAGATCCAGACAGCGCAAGGTGCGGTGAATGCAGAGCTCTTCCACGTGAAGATCGCGGACCGCTTGGGGCTCACAGATGCCCACTTCTTAGGCCACCGAGCGGCCCGAGCGACAGGCTGCTGGATGGTGAGTTTCTCATAGCTTCTCCATGCTTCTCCCCATTCCAAGATGCAGGAAATCAGCCCATTCAAAGGGAAGGAACCAGGAAGTGTCGTAGTCCATGGATTTGTTCTGGTTTCGCACTGGCAATTGGAACCACAGCAGTGAAAAGGTCCACTGCACGCGCAGTGTTCTCAGCAGCCACAGGCCTGACGGCAGACCAACGGGAAAAGGACCGAAGGGCGTGCATGTGAGATGGGGTCAACAAGCCGCGGCCCTCGAAAGTGTGCTAGTCTTCGGTTCTGGCTCCCAATGTTCAAAAGTGTTCAAGCTGAGCAGACAGTGACCTGCCCACGACAGAAATTGAAGGCCCAGAATGCCGTTCCATCCGACAGTTGACGCTGACGGGCTGGCGGAATGGTGGATAGCCCATGATAGCCCCATCCACCATGTGTTGTGATCAATAAATCCAACGAATCGTCGCATGGCCCTTGTTGCGGGTCATGAAATGATTCCAGCTGATTGAGACAAAGCCTGGAAAGAGACCCAGCAGGCTGAGTGAAAGCAACTGGTCCTTCACTTTGATGCTCGGATAGATTGCTCGACCCTATGTTTCTACGGAACGACTTGCAGGCAGTATCCCCCATGTGGGAAAGGGCCAGCCAGGGCCAGCAGGGCCCCAGGGCCAGCCAGGCCCCCCCTCGCTTCCCCAGGACTTGGTCAAGGCCAACGAGAGTGGACAAGATATGAAGTTCCGTGGAGCGCAGGTGACCTTTAATCAAGTCTGAAATGGTGCTTTGTCAGCCGCCCAAGCACAAAGAATTGTCTACACTCCCTCCTTCTAACATAGAATGGAAAAAGCATGAAAAAGCGCTGGGTTGGTGTGACACTATGGCCCATGGATGCTGATGGCTCAACTTTTTGGATCACTTGTTTTGGCAGGCTGCATCTCCTCAAGGCAGCTGTTCTTTTCACCTGGGGGGAGTTGATTTCGAGAAACACTTTAAGACGTTCATCGCAAGTCAATGGGGATTGCGGATGAAAGCGTATCAATGAAGACCGGGGTCAAGTGTCGTTTGGGTCAAGTGTCGTTTGAAAGCCATCTCCATTTGGCCGCATTTGGCGATTGTTCGGAAACATGCTTCTCGGAAAGCCTTGTTTTTCTGAAAGCCTATCGCTTCTACGTACGTATGTATGTGTACTTTGTGCATGACACCAGGGTAGCAGATTTCTCATTTGGCAAGTGACGCTGGGATGTAGATGGAGGGCCACTCAAGCCTAAGGCGAGACAAGTTTGGTTAGCAGGGCAAAGCAAGAATGCAGCTGCAGAGTGAAATGCAGCAGGTGTCTTTCAGTAGTTTTCAGGTATTGAGTAGGGAATTGGTAAATCAGCTTGAATTTGTACAGCATACCACGTGTACCTGTGCAACACCCCAAACGATCAAAAGGACTACTGTAACCTAAGGTTGCAGTGGTTTGTTGCCTCAGGTTTGCACATTCGTGAGGCGCACAGGGTCATGGACCCATGAATTTCAGTCCAAGATTGGTTGACAAATAAAGGAAGAATGGGAATTAACTTCCTCGGTAGTTAGGGAACACCCACAGGTTGGTATGAGAGGCATGAACGGCAGGAATGGAGCCACTACCTTCTTGGGTTTCATTGAGTCCCACCTTTTGAGCTGCTTCCCCCCAGGTTCCTCCTGGGCTGTAGTGCTCAACCGGAAAATGTGAGTGCACGCGGAATTGACGATGCCAAGAGTGTGAGCAGCAGGTTCTTCCAGATTTTTGGCTGCAAGAATGGGTGACACTGCAGTGCAAAGGGCCTATATAGTTATAGTTTAATGTGTTTCATGTTGGACCACAGAATCAAACAGTTTGATGGATCCGAAATCCCATTTGTTCGTCACTTGTTTGTTTGACGGCATGGTTTTTGCACGGGTTGGTTGGGTTATTTCTGCTGAGTGGTTGCTACACAGCGCCCTCCAGACTTGAAGAGGCAACATGTCATGATCGATCTATCATGCAATGGAACATCTCTATGGTCAATGGATTGGCTTCAACACTAATTACCTTGATTATCTTGATTGGTCCTGAAGAGGTGACAATTGTTTGAAGACAGCAGAAGAACTTCTCCACCAACTCCAAACCAGAGCCCTTGCGTAAAAGTGGGAAGTGATGCAACTCCCTAAAGACCTACTGTATGCTATATACAATAGCTCAGGAGTCCTTGAAGGTGTTGGGCCGGGGAAACCGACAGGTTCCCCGCTCCCGGCTCAAACGCGGGTGCTGTGCCATCAGCGGGTGCCGTGCCACGCCATGCTGGTCCAGCTGCTCCTCCTGTTGCTGCTGCGGGCTTTGCGGACCCGGGGCCAGTGCACATCGTTGCTCCAAACCAGCAAGCTCCACTTGACGTCAATCCCGTGCTCCATTCATCAGACGGGCTTGACCAATGACTCGGAGGCCAAGTGGGTTCCTCGGTATGACAAAATAGAGGAAGATAGTAGTAGTGGGTATTTCAAAAAAAACATAGTGTTGAAAAAAGACCTCATTTACCGCAAGCTCTTGCAGACCTTTGAAGAGTGGCCCCAAATCCATTTGGTGGACCCACTTGATCACGGACTCAGGTAGAGACCTGGATTCAGAAGAACCCCCAGTGCCAGCATAAGCTTTGGAACCTTGGCAGCTCAGACCTCGAGGTCATGGTTCGGCCCAAAGAAAAGCAGCCGGTGTTCCACAGAGAAGAGAAGAAATTCAAGAGTTGTTGAGACCTAGAAGATCTCCACCAGTTTCTCCGCCAATTCCTGGCTTTTCCCAAAACGACTGATTTCGGAGCTGCTTGGGATGCTTGGATACCTTTGGTTCCCGCAGAACACGCTGAATTGGAGGGTGGAGCACGAGCCGAGTTCCGGCTCACTCTCAACAACTCTTACAACCCATTCAACGCGTGCATATACAATTACTATATATACAGTATGCATCCATGCTGCATGGCCAGGAAGGACGAGGAAGTTGAGAAGTTTGTCCAGCAGAATTCGGACCAGTTGCTGTGGCCTATTTGGCCTGGGCTTACCCACGTCACTCGCCGGATGGCCGGAGACCAGCATGAATGCTCCAGTAGATATTCCAAAAACACTTGAGTTGCATGGTGCTGATGGATCAGGAGGTACTAGTAGCACCTTTTGATTGTGGAGGAGGGCTTGTAAGGACCTTTGGCCTGCTTTCGGAACAAGCTGACAAGTGTTTGAACAAATTGTTTAAGTGTTTGTCAGAAAGTCCGAAAACGGCTATATTTGCTGGCTCTTCTCAGTTCGAGACATCTAAGGTTGAGCGGGCAGATGTTTTCCGGTATTTGGTCCTGTGGAAGGAAGGCGGCTACTATGCAGATGCCAACGTGGAATGCATGAAGCCCATCGACGAGTGGGGCATCCCGAATGACGCTCAGCGGCACATTGCATGTCAGAAAATCTTCCAGGAGAACTGGGCCCATCTGGTAGTTTGCTGGCAGAGGCTAGCGGGTTGAGCATTTGCTACTACTAGCCTCCTAATTAATGGAAGTCCGTTCGACGCCGCCCGCACCCAAGGTGCTGAGGCCCGTGATTATCCGTACTTTGTTGGGTGGGTAGGGAAATGCATATCCTGCCATGAGGTTTGTTTGGAGGGGAAGTGGTAGTGAAACAAAACATGCAAAACATAAGGACAATTGAAGGCTTGCAATATTTAATGTGGAGGCAGCGGGATGCTTGTAGTGATACATGATCCAAACTGTTGAAAGGAATCGTTAGTATGTCTTTCATGAACCTAATGATGCAAATGATGCTATACTGAGGCGTTTGTGAGATCAAGCTACGGTAAACTTTTTGTAGTGATTCTATTTGACATCTCTAGGTCGGTAAATGGTCATTATATACAAAAAGTAGACAATATGCAGGATCGATATATGACCTAGAGGTGAATGGTATAAGTTGGACCCCTGAAAATGTCAAGGTCAAAGTTAGAGTCATTACATTAAGCTTTGCAATATGCATGATATTGCATATGGAAATGTTATTGACTTTCTGAAAGTCTTCGACTTGGTGCTTCTTGACTTACTTTATGACTTTCTGACATGTGATTTAGGGTGTGTAGGGTCTTGGATTCGCCTGAAACATCCTAAAACTATATTTACAATATTTACAATATAGTTTAACATCCTTAAATAATTAAATTATTCAATAAACATCGGCGCTCGGGAGTCCTGCTCATTCGGTTACGTATCATTTAGGGTGGCTTGGACATGACTTGCCTTTCCTTGCGTGCCCGCGCGCGCTCTCTCTCTCTCTCTCTCTCTCTTTTTCGCGCCCGAGGGAGCGGGTGGGGGTCGTTGTCGTCTTGAAGTGACCTGAATACCACCGTCACCCCACCATCATCCTGGCCTTCAATATCCTCAGCTCTGAACCTGACTCCCAAATCCGCCCAAAAGAAATCCCTCCCCGGTTCCCCCCCCAAACACCGCAAAACCCAAACCTCGACGACCCGCACGAAATTCTCGCGGAGGAAGCGACGATGATCGCGGGCTACGAGTTCGGACATCGCCTTCCGGAGGAGGATCGGAAGCTCTTCCAGTTCGCCCGCACCGAGCAGTTCGAGCCGCTCGGTTCCGAGATCGTTTCGGAGGTCGCACACGGACACCGCGATTGCGCGCGTCAGGCGGTTGGGTTTTGGCATGTTTTGCCACAGAAGCCCGGTTGCTAGAGGTGGTGGAAAAGGCTGGGTGGAGCAAAGATGAAAGTGCTTTTGGGCAGCTTAGTCAGTGAAGTTCTGCTGCAAACCGTAGATCTTCTGAAAGATTCCTGGCCACAGCACGGTTGGTGATTTACCTTGAAATCCGACATGTTTTTGAGAGGGAGTAAGTGCTGACGGACTGTCAGCCCTGTTCCAGCGCTACAAAACAGGTGGCACAGGGTCATGGGCCGGTCTATCCAGGTCTCATGGTGTTCGCCGATGTTTCATTCGTTTGAAGGGAGTCACAGGTTTAGCCATTTGGCCCTGTTGAACCTCTTGAACCCAGCCCAGGCAATGGTTTTTGGCCTCAGCTCCTGGGAATCCAGTCCTGCTGCGATGTATGGAGACTCCGATTTGGGAGGGTTGGGAGGCTGACGGTTTAGGTTCCGAAGCGAGCTCGATTTGGCACAAGTCCAGAAAGATGTTGTGCCGGACTTGACCCAAAAATAAGAAGCTGCTACTTTCTCGCCCCATAATGTGCCAATATGTGCCATGTCTCATGCATAGACTCAGACTGCCTAGAAGCCATTCACGCATAGATGCGATGAAATGTGTAGATCATGTAAAGGGTTGTTGATATTTGCATATATTTGCACAACTGGTTTTGTCATTGTGTGCTCTTTACATTGTTTGATTGTACACTCTTAGAGGTTTGGTTCAAAATGGTTGGTCATCACAAGTTCCTTCGGCCCTTTTCTTTGGTGTTGTTTCTTTCACTTGAGCCGGCACTACAAAATTGTTCCGCACCGTGCTTTTCCCTCCCAGTCTCGGGCTGGGTTGGGGTGCCGAGAGTGAGGAGCTGGTGCGGCAACGCTACAGCTGGAAACTCCAAGACACCTTGCAGCTCAGTGGTGCGGGGGTTTGGAGCGACGCTGTACACGAGTTCCTGGCGCGAACGGTGCCAGAGGTTCTGGAGAAGGAGGTCGCCTTCCGGTCCAATAAGAGCGCCTGGGAAAGCCGACCTGAAGGAGACAAGATGTGTAGAGTGGGAGTTAGCTTGCCAATGTTCTTAGACAACCCCAGAAATCCCAGAATCCATTTAGGGCTTGAGGATTGGACATGTTCCACACCTCAAACCACAAACTGCCACCACACATGCCGACAGCGACAGTGGTTGGCCTCCAACCTAATAGCAATGGCCTCCAACCGAACAGCGATGGCCTCCAACCTAATAGCGATGGCTTCTCAAACCCACTGGCAATGCCCATTTTAAGGGTTTTTCCCATTCTTCGCTCTGAGGTGAGCTCTTGCGGAAGGATACCCGTGGAGTTCCCAGCGAACGGCTCTATGGTCCTGACGCCTCTGGCGGTTTCATGTGGGTCGCCGCGGCCGGGCGCGTGAATCCTGAAGCGCACGTGGAGCAGTGGGACCCCACGGACGCCCGGCTCGGAGCGCGCGCGCTCTGCGGGAGCGCACAGAGCGGAACGGTCTGGGATTTGATGAGGTTGGGAGATGTTTACAGTGGGCCATCAGAGTAGATAGGCACAGACCCCAAGAGGTACCTTTTTTTTTGGGGGGGGGGGGCCAGTGGGATTCTTGGGCGCCACCACGGTGATGGGTGGATGTTTTTTTCTCCATGTGCAGACCTCAAGCATGTTTTCAGCGCTGTGCTTGAGTGAGTGAGTGACTGACTAGCTGACTGAGATCACTTGGCTTGGAAGAGATTGGTGTGGTTTGTTTTTTTGTCTTTGCCTGGGCTTTGTGGACTGTGTCACTGTCCGGGACTCTGTTTTGGATAGGGCGCCGAACGGCGCTTGGGATATGTCTGAGCGGGCTTTCAAGGGTTGCAGTGAAGCGCATGGTTTGTTTGTTGATGTCAGAAACTCGACATTCAAAAATGGACGATTGGCATGTCTTATCATCCGGAACCATCTATTCAACCGCTGATGCCACCCTCTCCATGCTGCTACCAGTCTCTCCATGTTGCCGTGGCAAGGAAGGCAAGGAAGCCTTGGTGTACCGTCACACCAAGTGAGCGGCGGCCCGCGGCGATCGCAGGAGCGGATGAGCTCCGCGGTCTAGGAGACGCCTCTGCAAAAGTCAGAGCTGGAAAAGTCGAGATCCAAGAGCAACTGCTAGCTTCTTGTTACTACTAGTAAGGCACTTGTTACTACTAGCGTGGCACTTGTTCCTAGTAGCTTATGGACACTGTTCTTAAGAGCAACTGCTTGAGGAAGGCAGAATGTTGCGAGCTCCGCACCTTCAAGGATCAAACCTCCTGGGAGAATCAGACGTTTGGGCTTTCGCAAGGGCTGGGGCCGACACCAAAAAACGAAGGGCCTCGAACTGATGAACACGTTTAGAAGCTTCGGAGACCTCACCCCAAAGTCATATCAATCGCCCTGAGAGGTTGAAACATATGTGTGAGCTGATCCCAGTTCATTCTGAATCAGAATCCAGCTGTTACATCTTACACACCGTTTGTGTGGAGTGTTAGCTCCTGTTCCTCCAGTCATTGCAGGTCATATGTTCGGATCCAAGCAGGTCCTCTTTTCCGATGGAATGAGAAGAACCGACCGGCGACTGAGGGATCTGGAAGAGATCAGCAGCGCTCGACTCTGCGTGGACGGGATGGCCCCTGAACACGGCGCGGCACATGAAACACACGCGAGACACGCGCATCGGATGACGAAGATCCATGCAGTCCTGAAACAAAAGTCTGTGGTGACTCATGAGATCTCATGAGTCATGAGTCTTATAGATCAAGGTGGGTCACCACAGGAAGGGACCGAACCCACGGCCCACTCCGGCGCCCTTCGCCTAACATCGCTTCGCATCCAGGCTTCGTGGTGAAATCGCTTTGCTTGGACTTTGCACCGCTGCCAGACGAGAAGTGCTTTGGGGCGCATGATGAAGGTTTCGGAGGCGTTTTGATTCGATGTGAAACTCGAAATCGCAGCTGAGCCGACGATCAGGTGCTGATGAGTATTACTACAGTACGTATGTTGAGATATGATGAGATCTGTTGAGCTCTTTGATATTTGCATTGATGGTTGTTTATCATGGTTTATCAATGTCTTACAATTGCTGGTTGAACTTGAAGGCCTTCTCGGTGGATGACACGGATAGAGATCATCACAATGGTTTTATATGTTGATTGCTTCATCGCAGTGCGTTTGTCAGTCTATCTTCTCATGCCAAGTACCTTTAATAAGCAAGCATGAAAATCAAACATCAAGTGCTCGAAAGGAATATTCAAAAAAGGATCTCCAGCACTTACTGTATCTAGCAGATTGTAGCAGGACTTGGCCGTCCCTTTCTTTTTGAAAGGCAAGATCGGTTGCTCCTAGGTTGTTCGAACCCAGGTCACAAGAGAACTTAGGCCTGGGCAAGCTGACCAACATGTTCTTCATTTCCCTGGTGTGCCTTTTTCGTTGTGCTTATGTATTCAGTAACACTTCCCCACAATCCGCGAAGGATCTCCGAAGCCTTCGTTTAATCAGGGATGACGAGGGATTTCATGTCTCTTCCATGCATGGAAAGTGCCCCCCGGCACAACGAGACCGAACGGCAGGGGTCCCTATAAATGGGGGTTCCGGAAACCCCAGCGGAGGCAGGTTCCGGACGTCTGCACGTGACGCGCGGCAGCGCGTTTGCTGCGCTGAGGACCCAGCGATTGCCCAACTTATTGGAGTGGGTGGTGCCCTGACGTCAGCGAGCGTGTAGCACGGTGTAGCACAGGCCTTGCCAATGGGTGAGAAATTTGGATCTTCATCCATTTTCCATGTGATGGATCCATATGTAAGTATGTACTCGTATGAATGGCCGGTGTGGCTGTTGAGAGGCTGGTACGGTCCCCCGTTGCCTGTACCCTCCTGTACCTCCTGTACCTGGCTTTCCTTTGCACCCGGCCTCAGGTGCAAGGTGCAGAAGTTGTGGCTTGCAAGGTCACCAGGTTTTTCTGACCTCCACGGTGTACAGGGATGTTTGGAATCTTGAACAGCCAGGGTAGTGTTCTGCCCAGAGAAAAGTGATGAAACTCTTTCACTGCATCCTATGTCAGCATGTGTCAACAACAAGTTCCTTTCATCAAGCTGGCCATTCAGAGGATCCACCAACATACATCAAACTTCAGCATTCCTTGAATGGTTAACCTACAAAAATGGTTCATAAGCACAACATGTTCAAAAACCTTGGTGACCTTCCTTCTCACCCACCGGAGGACAACACACCCACCGGAGGACGAACCTGACGTCGGCGGCTTCTGACCTGAGGAACCTCGGTCTTCCCAGAAGGTCCTCGTTTGGATTCAGGTGGCTTCGACCGGTCCGGGGTCCGGTGCGGCGGAAAAAACCGGTGCGGCGCTTGGGTTTTAACCGGGTGATCCCTTTTTGGCACAGTAGATGGTGTAGATGGCTTTGTGTTAGCTGCTATGGCCACTGGTTGTGTTCATCAGTTCCTTTGAACTCGCGAATCGCAGCGAATCGCAGGACTTAGTGAATGCTCGCTATGCTGGCCAGCGCCTTCAGAAAGAGATGCCCAATGAATTTCGGCCAAAAGGGGGAAGGACTTTGCGCTGGGCCGTTTGGAAAAGGACTATCGCCCCCCTGCAGCCTTGAAACTAGGGCCAGAAGAATCTCCTCCGTCTGCAGGAACAAACAAACAAACAAACCCCGCAGATGAGTGACCGGCGGTCCTAAAAGGCACATGCTGACGCCAGAGCTTAGGATGGGGTAGCATCCTTCCCACAAAAGCAATAAATGCAATTCAGTTGCATGTTGCATGCCAGGGCAGATCATTCTTGGTTGTGGGGGGTGTCCGCCCTTTTCCGTTGGCCATGTAGCATTTCTATCCCAGGTCTGTCACTGCTGGTGTCCGCCCTTCCGCTGGCGATGCAACATTTCTATTCATTTGTCCCCCAGCGCCCCTTTCCGCTGGCCATGCAGCATGTCTATTCATTTGTCTCCCAGGTCTGTCACTCGTGGTGGCGTCATGTTTGGCCAGACCATGTTTCAGGGAGGCAAGCCCTTTTGACGGGCGAGGTTGGGCTAGCAACCTGCAGAGGTTCAGTATCAAGATCCTTTGTGTTTGTTAGCATTTACAGCCCCAAAGCCAAAGCTTTGAGCATGTTTGAGCTTTCCTTTCACAGCCCAGCCCCACCAGCCCAGCCACAAGAAAACCTGTCACAATCCTCCAAGTGGTGTCCATTTGGTCGCCTTTCCCACCATCACCAAAAACATGGTGAAGTTCTTCTGGATTGCCTCCCAAGGTGAAGTTTTATTGCCCTGCTTCAGCAGATGGCTTCTTGTTGGGAAACATGCATGCCAACTTCTTCGATGAGGAGGAAGAAGATGAGGAGGAGGCCCCATACGCAATCGCAATTGGCGTAGAGGGCCAGGGTAGAAGAAATCTCCAGACAAAGGCATGCCCAGTCTTGTTGACCTCCTTCGGAAGAGTTTGTGCCCTTCAGAAGCCTTCAGCCCCCCGAAGATGCCTGTGTTAGAAAAATATGTGACAATTTAGAAGTGGTTCGTGGCCAGCCACAGTATGCCACAGTTCAGTCTAGCTCTTAATCCAGACATTCGAGGTTCAAAGACCCACAATCTTTGCAGGTCCTTAGGTTTCAGAGCTGCAAAACCTGAGAGAACTGCAACAGACGATAAGAGAGTAAAGGAAAAACAAGCACGATTTGTTGTCTTCAAGTTCCCTTGAAGCCCCTGGCTGATGTTTTGCTAGACGTGTGCAAGCACCGTCTAATTGAAGTCAGCATGATAGTATGTTGGATGATTTTCGCTGTTAGTTGGCTTGAGTTTTACACTCTTGATAGTCATGTCACCAAGAGTGTAGAAGCGGCTGGAGACGTCGTAGATTTGCCGAAAACTCTGCAAAGCGATAAGAGATGATGGCACAGAGACCCAAGAGCCCTTTGTGGGAACAGAGACCTACAACAAAGGCATGGACTCATCGGGCCAATTCTCGATCTCAGGACAGTCTAAGACGTATGCACCGTCACCGGTAAAACGAACATCGGCGCCGAACGGATCGTCCCTTTAACGGAGACTTTGCCCAAAAAGGGTTCGACTTCGGCTCCAACACCCTGACAGATCCACAGATGGAACAGATCACATGGACATCCCAGAAAAACGCCAGTCGAACTCCACATATGACCAATGAACGCCAAAGCCAGTCGTCTCGGTGAGGATCTCTCGATGGACATGGTGGTGGAAATCACCGACCTGCGGAAATACTGACCGCGGGCGTGGTGTGCGTGTTCGGAGCATCGCAGTGCGGTTTCGGCGTGTTTTTGGGGCCGCCACCGGTGCGGGGACAGTGTCTGAAATGGTGCACTTGGAGCCAAACCAGTTTGATCAAGGCATGGGTGTGGGGCAAGGTGTCCTCATCTCAAAGTTCTTCAAAGATGATAAGGACACATCCAAAAATCCGACATGCTCCGACACATTTCACGAAAGCTAGCGAAGCTAGCTGGAGTTACTCTTGCGATAGCAAGGTTTCTTTCGACCGGGTGCAAATCCTAACCCCTGATTTTTCAGGTTGAGAGTGAGCGAGTGCGGCCGCAAGATGCGCAACGCTAACCGCATGCCAAAGAGCGACGACAGGACGGAGTCGAACTTGCGAAGAGGGAGGAGGGAGGGAGGGAGGGAAGGTGGGAGGAAGACAAGGAGGAGGAGAGGGGAGGTGGGGTGGGGAGAGGGGAGAGGGGAGGAGGGGAGTCTCACTGTCTCACTGTCTCTCTCTCTCTCTCTCATCTCTCTCATCTCTCTCATCTCTTTCTCATCTCTCTCTCCTCTCTCTCTCTCTCTCTCTCTCTCTCTCCTCTCTGTCTCTCGTTTTTCCGTCTCTCTTCTCTCTCTTCTCTCGCAGGAGGATCCGGGCAAAGAGCCACATATAAAGGACTCTTCACCCCTGCCTCCAAAAAGAGCGCCGTGTTTTTTCCTACCTCACTGCCCTCCACTTTCCCATTCTGGAGCGCTAGCTTTCGCCCCCCCCCCCCTTGGCCTCAAGTCTTCCTAGCCTTTGCCGCATGCGGCACAGACTGGCCAGAGGACAAGAGTCCTCGGCACTAGGCATCTCGGAGAAGTAACAGTGACTTGCTCACATTGCTGCTTTCCCGAAGGTAG